CACTCTGCTGACTCTGCTGTAAGATTGCTTTCCCGGCTCGAGTCGCGCGATCATTTTTCAAGCGGCTATCGGTACTTTTTCGCACGAGCCACGAATCTCAATTGGCTCGGATAAGTTTGTTCGAAAAATAAAAGCGCATTGTCTCGCGGCATGATTTTTTTCTCACTAAACCCTCCCGCACGTTCCACACACACACACACACACACTGCAAGTGCAAACGATTAGCGCAATTTCGCAGCGCGAATGTAGAGCCACGCGGGCTGCCACTTTCACTACCTCGCGCATACGTGCCCCTATCTTGATTATAAATCAAAGCTGTTTAATGCACGGCTATGGTCGTCGTCGCTAGTTAAGAAGATCATTAATAACGAAAGCCGACGCGCGGCTCGTTCGCACAATCTCTCTCGAGCTGCCACGCGGCTTATTCGTGTGTGAAGTGTGTATAGCAATCGATGATCGTGACAGCGTGTACAGCTTCAATGCACCTTTTCTCTTTCTATTGGTCTATTGGCCGGTGTTTCTTAACGATACGCCTCAAGAGGAGTACTCTGTCGCACGCTCTACGTTGATTCATTGGCTTTTCTCCATTCGTAACTAGATTTTTCTAACTTTATCGTACCAGATGCTTATTCAAAGTACATACTTTTCGCATCCTCGAATATCCTCGAATCCAATATGATTTTCTTTTCGGTAATGCGCCTACGAAAACACGCGACGGCTTTTGGGAAGCTTGCGACACTCTTTTACGTATTGCGATAAATTATTAGAGACTTTTACTAGCAGTTTTCTCAGGCTTTTGCGAGTGTACGTAGCCACGACTTGATTTTTTTTTTGAAACAATGATACCAACATTTTACGAAATGATAGTAGTATCTGGTTAATTGCTTTCCGAGAAATACCAGACTATGCCACGCAGAATTATTTGGGTAATTGCAGGAAACAACCGTTTTACCATTAAAAAAAATCCACGCTCTAATTGTGGATATTAACGTGCTCACAGACAATGATCCCGATTAAAAAACTCTAATCGAATACAAAAAGAAATGCTCTATAAATCTCCACCGAACTACATTGTTTAAACTGATTTTCATGTTTTATGTCGTCGATCAGGTTCTCCACAGAGAGAATTTCAACGACCCAATAATCATTGAATTCGCTGTTTAATAGCGTATAATCAGGTTGTGTCGTGCCATAAGAAATAAAAATATAAATACAAAATCGCATAAAAACCGCGCAATTCATGGTCTTTCGAATCTTTACTGTCAAATATAACCCAATGTAACATTCAATTAAAACTTTCGCTCGACCTAAGCGCTGCCGTATGCTACAACTTTAATGCTCTAACATAAAAGTCCACTCGCTAATATGTGTAATTATTTCAAATGTATGTATGTGCAACGACGACCGAGAATTGTTATTGCTTCCTAAATTGTACTTTTTCGGCTTTACTTCTCATGCGGCGTTAAAAATCACGATGCATCCTCTAAAAATGTTTTCGAGTGCCAATGCCTTACGCAACTATTATGAATTGCTGGATTTGCATAATAACTGACGCGCGAAGCTCGCAAAATTATTGAATTGACGAAAAGAAGGCTCTGATTGCTTTTGGTTATGAATGAATCTTTTGAGCGAGAAGTGTTTGTTTTTTGGGAGACGGCGAACGGAAATTCAGCGCGCGAGAGAGAGAGAGAGAGAGAGAGAGAGAGCGTATTAGAAAGCCCGTTACTTCGGAAACTCGTACGAGCATCCGAGCTCGTTTTCTTGAAAAGCTCGAGTATACCCAATAGTTCGCAACAAGGAGTACCTCGTACGCAAACACTCTTACACGAGAAATCGATTTGCATTGCTCTCGAGCTGGAAACGCGAACACATCTCCCCTCGCATTTACGCTGTACTTTGACAAGATCGCAATGATGATCGTCATACTAATATTGCATTAAAAGATAAAAAAAAATAAGCGGCGAGATCACGGAGCGAGTCAAGCCGTGAGCTTAGGTTGCGCGTACATGACTGATGTCGGTCGATGGCCGCACGTAACTCGCACTCGTTGGCCCTTGGCTCCTCTCGCGAGTCACGCGCTCCGCGATTATTTTGTCTCTTGCAATGCTGTATCGCGCTGCTCGCGGGACGACAATACCTTGACTTGGATCTGTTTCTTCTTCGCTTGGCGCGTGGAAGATAATTTGGATTAGTTATTATGTTATTCTTAACGCGGCTGCTGATTGCGCGTGCAAATTGACAGCTTTCGAATGGGCAGCTGCGCTGTTCGTATTGAATAAACCGAGCGCGCTGCGCTCGAATATTATGGTCTGGAACTTGACAGTAAAATGTGCGAATTCCAGACCACGTGTGCGCGATTGAAAATAGCCTCGCGGGCATCGATTTAAACAGCGCGCTAAGACAGTTTATTATTGCGCAACGCACTGCGTCAGTTGTGGTTTTGCCGTTGTAGCGCTCGCTGTCGTCAACTGAATTTTAATTAGTCGGCTGAGAAAGCGATATTTCAATTGCGTGCATCACAATTGATAAACTCAAATCCGTCTGCATTGAGAATTCGTCGGAAAAGAAGAGTCGACTTGAAAATACTTGGACCGTTCGTCCGCAAGAAAAAGTTGAGTGAGATGCGAAAGAAACGGTATAAACTGCGTCTAGCTGTTTATCTAAATCAACGATTGCACGCGGGCACATAAATGATAGTCTCCGTTTCTTTTTCCAGCCCAAGTCGAAGCACAGAGAGACGCAAAAGTGGCCTGCCTGTAAACAGGCTGGTAATCTATCTGAAATGAGGTAGCATTTGTCAAAGCCCGCATTTAATGAAGCATTCGACCCAAAAGAAAAATTGAAAAAGATCGGTGGTACGCGCGACCGAAGCTCCCGACGATTAATCCAATAATGCGACGCACTCCTCTTTTCAGGTGGAAGTGTGTGCACGAGTAGTCGACCTCAACGGTATCTCCTCTAATTCGTATTTTCAGCGCGCTCCGACCGTTAGCCGATTGTAAGCCGCGGCAGCGTCTCTCAACGGTCCAAAACCCAGCGTCGGTCGTTTTCAGAAAAGAGCATCCACATTCTAGCTTCTCCTCTTCTCCTCGCTCGAACATCCGCGACGAGTGACACGGTCACGGGGTTGCTTATCGAGAAACTTTCCAGTGCGACGGATGCAGTCAAGCGCTTTTATTATCCGTGTAAATCAATGCACAGCTATGACAATTATTGCTTTTACTCTCGAGGCCCGCGATGAAAAACTGCTAATAACCGGCGCACACCTTCGTATCCTTGCTCGCGTTGATGATCGTTAAATTGCCGCGTTTATCCGTGCGATCGAGCCAAACGTTTGTAAATCTTACTAGCTATCTATCGAAACTTGACCTATAAATTCTTCGCGTACGCCGCGGCTATCGGATACATCCATTAAACGAGAGGTCTAACCATTTTTCTCTCTTCAATGTCTGTTACAGGTGAGTTCTAGCGCTTCTCCCAATTCGACATAAAAGTGTCTGGTCGTCGGTAAGTGCTTCAAATCGAACAATTACGTGCGGCTCGAGCCAGAGTCATTTGCATGCGAATTTTCAATTAAAATGTCCTCATCTTCGCTTGGCTTTCTCGTCGCGACAATTACCAAGAAGCTTAGTGGCGCTATTGTAAATATCATTTTGAAATCGTATGGCTTTTGCGGTAGATATTCATGCTATAGAAAGATGCGCGCTCACGACCTCGGCGGAAAGTGTCATGACAATCGCCGCGCATTAGGGCTCCTCGCTCGTGGTCCCTCACACTGAGAAAAATCTCCTGATTTGGACTTACGTTCTCCTTTGCCACGCGACATTTGCCACGTACGTAATTGTCGCCCAATCGACGCGCTATTTTACTCGTACCCCCACTGCGGAGAAAAATCATCTACACGTGACGATTCTATTTGTAGCTAGCAAATATTTACTTTGCTGTTTGAGAGCAAGAGTTCAGAGCTAAATTTGCGTCATAGCATTATGAGCTTGCGGTCAAGATTCTATGAGCATTTTCAGCTAAAAATATTTTGGATACAGTCCAAGGAATAAGACAAGCACGCGAGGCACTTCCTTGGAATGGCTTCTATTAATGTCAGTGCACGCTCGAATTATATTCTCTATTTCGACCGAAAATACTCGGAATTACATAGAATCTTGGTTCTATGTTCGTGAAACAATTTATTGCAGATCACGGCTCTCCCACATTAATCATTATTATAGGATTGACAGCCGGCAGGTGATGTATCTGGCGAACGATGAGTCGGTGAAACAGAGCTATAATCATTCGTCCTTTTCATCTGTCAAAAGCTGATTATTTTGGTGTGCGTATGGTATTGTGTCGTCTGTAGACATCTATTTATCTATCATTATCGTTGCGACGCTAAATCATGCTATGAAAAAAAAACATATCTTTGGATGCATGTCTAGTTAAAATATTTTAGCATTGCTCTGCTAATTTGAAAGAAGCCATTCTGTTCGACATACGCTTATCGATACCGTTTTTCGATTGCAATTCGAAAGTGAAGTAGCACACTTTGTATCTATATGAGCACGTGCAAATGTGTGTTACGTAAGAAATATTCGACGCATTTGAAAGGCGCCAAAGTTGCCATACGATAAGCTGTCGCACACCCCAATTAGCCGCAAGCTCTTCCGTCCCTTCAAAAGCTCCCCGACAGCATATCGCCCTGAAAGCCCAGCCGAGCGCGTCGAGAAGTCCAGAAAGCAAGTGGCGCGTGCATGCAAGTGATAGACGCGGATCAAAGCTTCTCCGGCGCTTTTCAAACAACGCCAGCCGAAAAGACAAAGCTGAGCGGGGATCGTCTTCTAAAAATACGGATAAGAGAACCGGCGCGCGTAGAGCCTCCCCCCTGCCAAGTCGTCGGTGCCGGTGCAGTTTTAGCGGAGAAGTCGGAGCATAGAGTCGTTCGTCCCCTGCCCCCTCCAGCGCCTCGCCGCGCGGCCCGACGAGTCGCAGGTTCACAGTTGCGGCTCGCAGGCATTCCGCTCTCGGCGAGCGCGCCGCGTGCTGCTGCTGCTGCTGCTGCTGCTGCAGTCTGTCCGGTGCAGCGCCTCTCGTTTCCTTTTTCTTTTTTCAACTCTCGCTAGCTCCCGCTAGATTTAACGGGTCGCCATCCGCGGCCTAGGCGGCCTCTCTTTTTTTTCGGAGGCCTTCTCCTCCAAGTGCGACTGCTGCCTCGGAGTGTGCGTATATAGTGACACGCGCGTCGACAATTATTAAGCAAAAAGAAGCCACAGTCGACGGCCTTACGTCGTCGCCGATAAGCTCACGGCTCGGCTCACGGCGACCGTCGCACACTTTCGTGTGCGCGCGAGTGATTCACCTATTCTCCTCTCGATTGGCTCAATTGAAGGTCCGAGGCGAACGCAGCTCGACGCGTGCGGAGTGCGACACGATCTCTCTTACGTAAAAGTGACTCCCGAAGCGAATCCCCAGCTGCACGTGTGCGAGAATGGATGCCCGCAGTCTCGAGCGAGGAAACTGAAAGACGCGCAGCGAGCGAGAACAGGTGCGTGATCAAAAGGTAAACACGCGCGAAGTCAGCTGTGTCGAACTCTTGTCGGCTTTTGTCGGTTGCTTCTTCGAGAGCACTCCTTCCCAAGCGTCCTCCATTGCGAATTGTTTACGACGAGAGCGAGGAGAACAATTTGATATCGTGCGCCTGTCGCCGTAGTTTTTCTCTTCTCTGCGCCGGCGATGCCCGCGACTGCAATGACTCTTATCTCGCGGCACGGCATTCGCGTGGCGTTGTGTAATAACCACTCGGATGACAATTGTCCAATGCGACGTCGTTGGATTTTCAATTACCTCGAGCCGCTTTTTTTCCAAGTGCGCGCGGCATGACCGGCACAACGGAGCTTACACGTTGATAATGCACGATTCCAATGAGGTTTTACTTTCCGTTGGGTTATGAAACTGCAGCGGGTATTATCTCGATTGGATTTGCGCTTCTAAAATTAGGTACACTCGTAAAGCGATCGACGTTCGACTGACGTGCACTCGTGGCTCGCGAAAGCAGCAAAGTACGTCGCCGAGGTGAAAACGAGTTGACCCGACAGTTCTTTTTTTTTTCTCTTGTCACTCGCGAGCTCGCGTTGGCTTTACTACAGAGACAGGCAGACGCACGCGCGATCATCTCGACGGTCCATCGAGCTTCTTTTCCTTTTCCTCGGCCACTGGCAGCCACGACTCGCGCAGGCTCGGTTCGTCCCGAGTGTGATAAGAAAGCGTGAGACACAAAAGCCCATTAGCGGGTCTGCAATCGGCGAGCGATGCCGGCGACTCGCGTTTATGCGGAACAGTAACATTTAGCGATGCTGCTATATATCGTCTTTCGAAACCGCACAGTCACCTACTTTCACGCGCGATATTCGGGGGAAAAAAGTCGCGACGCAAACAATGCATTGATTATCGCGGAAAGACGCGGAAAGAGGGGGGGGGGGGCAACAGGGCCGCGCGACAAACGGGGAAAACGGCCCGAGGAATCGCTCAATTAATTAATCAATCCAAGGGCAACGTACTCCGCTCGTCGTCTAGCGCTACCGCGGTTCGGCTCGCCCGTTAACTGTAACTCTGTTTTGTTTACGCGTGCCTTAAGCTTTCTTGTGGCGCGCGCGCGCCGATTGTTTTGGACGAGTGCTCTCTCCGCGGCGTGTACCCGCGACGATGAAACTTACGAGGCCAATCATTCCACTGCGCCACGCTGATCGCGGACCGAGCGCGTCGGGTAAACACGCTCGACGTTCTTTTTCCTCGCTCTCTTGCTATCCGCGCGATGCTTCGCAGCGCAGCTGCTGCCTATGCCTCGACGAGGTGTTTGTCTTCGAGCCACAATATTGACGAGCCTACGGGTATGCGCTCCGAGTGTCGCGTTTTTATCGCGCTGAACGACCGATGCACTTTATAATCGCACTTTACCATTGGGTCGTCGCATCGCGCTGTTGTTGCGCACGGCAGGAACCGCGCTGCAGGATCAATATCGCGTGCCGCTCCGAGCGCCGGGAGCAAAGCGCGACAGTCGGACGAAAATAATACGAAGCGACGCTTCCGCTGCGAGTAATCAAGCCGACGGCCGCTCGCAGGTGTGATTGGAATGCATATACGAGTGTGCGCGCTTCGCAAGGAGAAGACGACGCCGTTATTTGTCGACCGCTCGATCCGCTATCGTTTTCCCACTTCCTCTTTCGCACGGAAGCAGCTTTGAACGCTCGATTTCACTCCGTTTTCATGGTTTTGCTTTTCATTTTATCTGCCGCGCGAGCGCCGCGTTATAGCCGATACACTCGTGCGGTTCACAATGAAAGTTTGCGCTAGACAAGTGCACGCGGCATTGTTACGTTGAGCCGCGCTTTTTGCTGCCGCGAGGCAACACAAAAATGACCAAATTGAGACTGCCTTATTACGCCGCGCCGCAGTCCGATGCACTCTCCGGGTGTATTTGCCATGCACTTTTTCTTATCGCTTAATTAAAGATCAGCGGAGCGCCCGTTCGATAGAGACAACTCGTTCGGCCCATTCCGCTCGAGAGCAATGCGATATCGAAGCAACCCGAATCGCGCGGCGATCGCAGGGCCACGTCTGCAGCCGTAACGATACGACGTCGTGGCAATTAATTTTCAGTTGGCCCGCTCGGAGCGTGATCGGCAAGATTGTTGTCCCGCAATTCGCGAGCCAATTCGAATCGGCGGCCGCGCGTTTTTCCGCGGAAAAAGAGAGGCCCGACTCACGACACGCGGTTTAATCAGGCCGCAAGACAAGACAAACACTTGCGAAATGTGCGCGAGCCAATCGTGTCTGCGTGCCTCTGTGTGTCCGTGTGTGTGTGTGTGTGTGTGTGTGTGTGTGCGTCGTACTTTCCAAAGCAAAAATGATAATCATCTGTCGCAAGCACATAATCGCGAGCTCAGTCTAATAAAAAGAAGGGAATCGAGGGACAGAGTAATTAGGCGACGCTGTTGCAACGGGACGACGACCGGGAGAGAGAGAGAGAGACTGTCTGTTCCTTCGCAAATAGTACGTCGATCTTCCGCGCGGATAGGCAGCGCGCCTCGTTGCGCAACGCCACCGCATAGAATTCCGCTCGTATCGCGCAGCGCGCAGCCCTGGAAAAGCGCGCCTGTTGTATAATGCGCGTGTGCGAATCGTCGCAGACTTTAAAAACTCGCGAGTTAGAGAAGAGAGAGAGAGAGAGAGAGAGAGAGAGAGAGCGAGTGGCAGGATCCGGACGCGACGCGATGATTATGTACGATTTGGCGCCGCATTCTTTTCGCTCGCTCTCTTGCTCAACGGCTGCGCGCTCTTCTTTCTGCGCTTTCCTCTTTCGGCCGCGCTCGAGACGGCACTCGAGCAGCCGCAGCGAGTGGATGTGCCGCGCGCGACTCGCGCCTATTTCCACGCCCGAGCCTTGCGGAACGACTGCTCGTGCGTGCGCGCTCTCTCTCTCTCTCTCTCGAGAACACAGTGCAATCCGGCCGTCCGAGGAAAGCTCGCGCTCGAGGATCGAATGCCCGGGCCGCGATAATTCACCTCCTCGACACTGGCGTAACGAGCTAACGAGCGAGATAATCGGCGGTCGTTTCATTAGCGCGATGCCGAAACGCCGCTGCGCCGCGGGAGAAAAGTAGCGTCGGGCCAGCGGGAGAGATGCAAATGGCGTAAAAGTTTTCACCGCGTGTAGGCTTGCGAGCGAGCGTCCAGCGAGCGCGAAGGCGAACGAACGCGCAGGATGCGTCGCGCGCGTTGCGTCAGTCCGCGCGCGGCGCTCGCGCGAGCTCTCCGAAATCGTTGGGAGCGCGCGAACAACGCGAGGCTCTTATTATGCAAACGGCGCGCCGTGTCGCGCGTTGCCCAACCTTTAATGGGCCGGCCGAGTCGAAACTCGATTTTTCGGGCCGTTTTCTCGCTCTCGCGCGCCCGCCGCGCCCGGTCTATTCAAATTTCAGCCGAGACGCTCCGTCTCCGTCTCGGGCTCGCTTTCCATTTTGACGAATGCGTTTCGTACGCCCGCCGATGGATTTGGCTATCGAACGTTTGCGTTTAAACGAGGCTTTTCCTTGCGTAGCGAGTATATTCGAGTACGGAGACTCGAAATTTCTGCGAAATATAGATTGGGTTACGCAGTTTAACACAATATTAGAAAGAGCGCTGGAGGTTTTGAAATCCGTGAGAGTCCGATGGAATAAAAGGCAAGTAATCGGCATTCGATAACGACCAAAACAATGCGCTAATTAGCAATCGCGCAGCGAAAAAAATGATGGGTTTCCCGCACAGGGAGCAGAAGAAACGCTCGAAAGCTCGCGTCTGCGCAGCGAAAAATTGACCGCCTATTGTACTTCAAAGGCATCCTCGTTCAGAGCAGCGAGAATGCGTCCTTTCAAGCGCGCGGCCCATTAGCGTCTAATAACGTCGCCGACTCCGTATATAATTGCGCGTCCCGCGCGGCAAAAATCTCGAGTCCGAGAGGTACACTGTGGGAAAATCGGCGCGCGTCTCCTTCTTTGCCCTCGCAATTGATTAATTAAGCCTTGGACATGCACACGCCGGCTCGCTCTTGAACTTGGACGGTGCGCTAAAGGATCGACGGGTATGCCGGCTGCTACTCGCGAAAATCCTCGCAATTACCCCTGTCGCGCCTGCTATTAATGGCCGCCGCCAGACGTATACGTGCGCGTCGGATTGAATTGTCACTGTTGACTCTCGCGCGCGCGAACGGAAAGTCGAAAAAAATAGAAATCTCGCCGTGCCCGCGGCGCTCTCCGGGAATTTCGCGTGTCCCCGTCGTCGCTGCACTTTTATGCGAGCGCCGCGGCTATCTTAGTCGTTAGAAAGCTTGGGATGCGTGCGACTTTTCTAGGTTCTCTTTTTCCTTTTTTTTCTTTAATTGGTGCTTTCAAGCTTACCGCGCGTAATGACGCGTGTAATGGATAATTCGATTATCTTCTCGCAATTTTTCCGAGGCTAACGATAAGAAATGTCAAAAGTCAATTAAATATATAATTTTTCGTTGGCAGGGTTCTCGTCAAAATGATACTTCTGTTCGTTAGCCTCGAAGCATGTTTTGCGCGACTCTCGCGTCTTGGTTAAGCGCCAAGGAAAACAGAGTGGACATCGGACAACGACGATGCCATTGCAATTGTTTCTATTGATATAAGTAAATAGTAGATTTTCAAGTATAGATTCATTGATGCACGAATAGATTTCCGTTATCACGGCAATCGTATGCGAGAAAATGGTAGATTTCACAAAGGCAAATTCAAGTATAGTAGAACACGAAAAGTATAGTACCTATAAAAATTGTTTATGGTAATTGTCAAGAGATTTTCACTTTCGCCGACAGTTCTCACGTGCAGAGAGCAACAAAGACCGGTGCGACGTTAGAATATACACACGTCTCAAAGAAAGAATTGATAACCACGTTGAGATTTTTTCGGAACGTGCATGACACATTTACACAGGCTTGAATACGTATAAGTCGCTCGTCATGTGATTCTCGCACTTGGCAATAGTAATTTACCACCCACGTTCCGACGGAAACGAATTTTCGAGCTTCTTATTTTCCGTATTCCGTTTTCTCGATGTATTGTACTCTATTAAACTTTCTCTTTTCCCATAGCTCTCCAAAGATAATCGATTTTAAGAAATCACATGACAAATCCGTAATGCCGATAAGAGTTCGACGATACATGAAGTGTATACCTTGTAAAAAAAAAACGCTTATCGCGAAATACAAACATTACACAGCACGAAACAACTCTCGCAGCCATCGACTTTCGAGCGTCTCTGTCGCAATCGTTCACACTCTCCTTACGTGTATGAGTAAGTTGCTGAAACTACACAGCTGAATGGCGGAGGCTGAAAACGAAGAAGCATCATCGACGTAGCTGAAACAACATCGTCAGCAATGAACGACACTCGACGCAGTTCGATCCTCGTCTCGGGCAACTCCACCTGGTACGACGTGCCAGCCCCGGTGATCGTTCACAGTCGCTCGTTCAGCATCGAGAAGTACGACGAGTACGGCGGCGGCGGCGGCGGCGGCGGCGACGTCGGCTGCGGCGGTGACGACGACGACGACGACGACGGCGGTGCCAACAACGAGAATCCCAGCGACGAGGACAACGAGCGCGTCGAGGAGATAATCCTGAGCAATCGGTCGAGCAGCAGCAAGTGCGTGAGCGAGGCAGTGGTGGAAGTGCTGTATCAGAATCAAGTGGAGGCGAAGCTGAACAGCCTGAACGCCCAGCAATGCTCGTGCGGCCAGGAGGCAGCGGCGGCGCAGCCGCGGAAGAGGTACAGCACGAGCATCGAGCTAACGGCCGCCACGACCCTGAGCAGCGACTCGGACGGCGTGCCCGTCATCACCTTCAGCTTCGTGCGAGCTGATCAGCAGCCAGTGGACCAGGTCGACGCGGCGCTGTACGACGTCCCGCGCGCGCCGCTGCCCGCGATCGAGGCGATCGAGCCGCCGACCGAGTCGCCGTCCGAGTCGCATCAGCTGTACGAGGTGGTCGGCGCCAGCGAGGCCGGCTCGTCCTCCGCCTCCGAGAGGAGGCTCGGCGGCTTCAAGGCCCGGCGCAGCAGCTCGAGCAAGTCGCTCAAGTGGCGGCGCAGCCTCGGCAAGCTCGAGGACCTGGTGCGCCCGTCGCACGCGGGCTCGCACTCGGACTCGGAGGCCCCGGACGGCTCGGCCGCGCGCAGGCGCAAGCTCGGCAAGGCCTGGGGCAGGATGCGCACCTGGCTGAGCGAGGAGCGCAGTAAGCTGAGCGGGGTGGTGGCCAGGCACGCCAGGCTGCAGGCCGTCGGCGCGCGACTGGACGACGTCGCCGAGGAGTCGGCCGCGCAGGCCTACAACGGGGGAGCGCAGTCGGGCTCGTACGACCTGACCAAGGCGCGGCTGGGCAGCGCGCGGCAGGCTTCCTGCTTGCCCAGAGTCGAGGAGTTCGGGCTGGAGCAGGTGGCCGGCGAGGAGGCTCGCGTTACCGCCAAACTTCACCTCAGCATCAAGAAGACCGCCAGCTCGGATGACATTCTTGGCGAGAGGCGGCAGCCGCGCGCCCTCCTGCCTGCCGCCACTTCCTTTAGCCTCGAGAGGCTGTGCTCCGACGACGGGGCCGCTCTCGAGCTCAGTGGCGGTGACTCCGCCGCTGCCAAGAAGCTGCAGACGAGGAGATATGCCAAGGGTGGACTGATCAAGAAGAGGATGCTCGGCTCGATTAGGGGGCTCATTGCTAATGCTCATTTGCTTCACGACCAAGACGATGAGGTATTTTCTTATTTTTTTAAGGAAAAAAGAACGAAAAAGAAAAAAGAGTTCTTCGATGCGTTTTCCTTAGGGCGTTCAGTCGGAATATCACATAAAAGACGTATATGTTTGTCAAGTCAACTTATCGCCGCATCAATCGCGCACAATAACTTGTCTTATCAGGCACGCTACCTGAGCTCAAAAGACTGTGCGCGAGGTAAGGCGTTGCAAACAGTTGGCTTGACTGATTTCAAACGTAAAAAGTTTACGTCTCGCGCTGTTTCGTTTTATTAGTCGATCGCAATGATTTTATTTGAGCTTAAACAAGCTTCTCGGAGATATAATCGATGGCTGTTACAAACAGGAAATGACTGTAATGAGCCGATACTTATCCTCCTCGGCGTAATGGATTAGTAGAATGGCTCTTTATACACAAACGTTGTCTTGAAGTTGAGAGTTTCGTTGATTGAGTTGATTGGGATATGTAGGTTAATAAACATTAATTCGATTGCGAAAACAATTGATCCAATATCGACAGAAGCTCTCGGAGCGATCGATAAATTCGATGAAGAATTTGGATATATCGATCGCATCGTCGCGTGGCGAGTGATAAACAATGCTCTATAGCAATCGCGTAGAGTAAAAAGCGGAGACAGCGAACCAATGAGCTTTATCAGCCTTCAATTACTCGGGGCTGTCTGCTGATTGATTACTCAGCTTCCGTTTATGTGATGTTAGAGAGAGCGAGAGAGAGTGATTCACATCGCGAAAAATCTATTATTATATCAGAAAACATTCCTTGCGGCGATGACGCGATCCACGCATCTCGCGCAATTTCTCGGATTGGTTTGTCGCGAGAAAATGTATTGGCTAAGCGCGCGCAAAAAAATTCCGTTGCGAAACGTCGCGTTTGACACGACATTCCTGGGATAACGCGGAAAGCAAGAAAAGTTTCTCGAAAGATTTACCGCGATGTCGGGATGCGATTCTCTGGAAAAGGTTTCAAACATACGCGACGCACATGTCCAAGGACGACTGTCTGGTCGGCGTACGTGACAAAAGGCGAACGGAGCGCGGTGCTCGCGATCGATTTCGAATTTTCTCCCGACAAAAGTCACGCGATTGACTGGCTCTCTTACCGTAAACGAAGAATCGAGGAAAGTGTGGGAAAGTCGTGGCATCGTCGCGAAGAATATAGATGGGCGACGCGCGTTAATACCGCGCTTCGATTCTCGATTGACTTGTTCATCGTGACTCAACCGTACATCTGTGCCGCGTTGCTTCGAGCCCGTCTTTTTCTAGTTTTTATTTTTCTCTTTTTCTCTTCGCAACGTTGATTTGTGCGCCCGGTGTCGCGCTAATTTTTCATTGTGAAACGCAGGCGAACTTGAAAATGAGTGAACAAGTGTAAAGAAGGTGATTCAAGCCTGCTTCGAAAATATGCTGATGTACTGCACTGTTTACACCTATCGCGCGTGTTATTTTAATTGCTAATGCACGGCAACGACAGTTTTCTGGAATTCGCCGGTTAAGTTTACGACCAGGCGTGTTTTCGTTAATTAGTCAGTAGGCCGGTATGCATCGAGGAATATTCCATTTCAACAAAAGATCTTTGAAGACTTTCTTGCTTTCATTATCCCCCCCCCCCCGCCCTTTCTTTTTTGGCACAAGTACGAAAACTTTTTTTTTTTTAATTTCATGATTGCCTGGAGTGCGTGCATTGTCACGTAGGAGAAATTGCGCGGCGATTTCACGAAGGTGCGCGCAAAAATTGAGCGAGTCAAGCGAGTTGGACGTGAGCTGAAAAAAATTTGTAATTAGCCTTGTTTTAGACGCTCGTAGATTGCTTTGGTACTCAGGTGTGAAAGCCTGTTTCTGTATGTTTACTGGACATCGTTAACGACTTTGCATAGCTAGTGTTTCTTTCTTTTGCGTTTTTTTCAAATCGTGCATGTGAGGTATGACCACTGATATCACATGTTTTGAAGTTAATTATGTGTGCGAGTGTCTCAAACATGAGTATAAAGACTTAAATTAATGCATATTCATACGACAAAGTTATTCAAGTTTTTAACCAACTTAATGGTTACTAGATGGTAAATTATTAGATTAATAAGATTGTACACATATTCTCAAGTTAAATACTATTAAACTAATATCAATCAATGCATTCACTTAAAATTTAAAATAATCTACAGGACATTTAACCATACTATTATAAAGACAAGAAAAAGTAAAAGTTGGCTGGCTCATCGCCTCCCTTTTTTTTACCTTTCGTAATCAAGCTTATTGATAAACTTGGTTGTGTAACCATGCCGTATAATTGCAGTTGATTCAGAAATAAAATAAAGAAACATTTCTGAAGTGCTGGATCGCTGAAGTAAATAATATTCTATTTGAGGATTCGAAATTTTCCAATTTTTCAAATACGTTTACTTCTTTTCGCGGCGAGTATCAAGAGATGAAATCTATATTACAAGCCATAACAATATATGACTATAATGTTGCGAATCTTCTATAATAGCTGCGCCTTCGGTTTAATCATGAAAATTAACCGAAGACAGAGTTTATATCGTACATACGTCGCTTGGCACATTAATTTTTGCAATAACATAATTCCGGTGTAATAATTACATTTTCAAAAATAGAATAATCCAAGAGCAAATAGAGGACATTACGCTCCTGCCACGACGTCTTTAAAAGTAATCTTGCGCTTATATTAATCGCGAGTAAGCCTCGGTGTCAGAAAGAAAATCAATGCACTTGCTTGGCCTCGCATAAAATCTACACTTACTCTCTGCTGGCACACTTTTCTCGGGCCATTTGCATGCACGTAACTCTTGGGCATTTACGACGCTGAGCTCACGCGAGCCTTCAACTTAACGCGAAAAACTAATTGTTATACGATAAGTTGTAAGCAATAATAATGGTCCGCGATCTTGTCATTTGTCAACTTCAAAAGCTTTTCGATAAAAACGCCGATGATCGTAATGTCGTTGTAGACAAATGACTAAAAGCGCCTTTTTCCGTTTTCAAATCACGAGCTTATGCGTGACGCCGATAACTGTTACTCGCTCGAGTGAGTAACTTTGCAACTTATTTTAGATTATATGGAGGCTCGTAGCAGCGACCTGCGCAACACTATGCAAAATACTTTCGCAATGCACGTCAAATTTTACTAAAATTGAACTTCACAATTATTAAGTATTATAGTTAGTCAATACTCACAAACTACTGTGAATCACATTGCTGATTTACATTGTTCTTGTATGGCTTTGTCATGAAATGGTCGATTCTTTTTTTTCCTTTCTGCCAGAAACTGTGCAACACTTGCTATTGCGGTCCATACATAACAGATACTACTGCAATACTTGTACCAGTGCGTATGTTTACTGGCCTGTGTCTGTCATTCGGTTCGCGCGTCATACAATATATTTTGATACATGCATTAGCTTTCATTCGGTTCATGATTTCTTAAAGATTTATATATTCAAGTACAATGTATATAGCAGTTTGAATAGTAAAATAAAAATGGTCGATAACAATTTTACCAGATGAGTTATTTTGACAACGAGAATAATTTGATTTTCTTAGAGCAAAATTATAATTATATGTCGTTAACTAAATCGATTAAACATATAAAGCTTAAAAATACAATCTCAAAATCAATAATAATTTAAATAACTAGGTTATCTCTTAATTAATCATTTCTCTTTATAAATGTTAATTTAATGTTGAATTTCGATAAGACTCTTAAAAATGGTATGGAATTACCATATGCATAAATGAAAAAAATCGATTATTCCCTTCTAAATTTTATAAAAAAATTTTTATAAAATTTTTATAAAAGAAAATCTATGTTATATGACAATTTTATTGTTTTATAGGACTTTACATTAAATAATAAAAGCATAAATACGTTAAAATTTTTAATAATTTTTATTAATTCGTGGTAACTGTCATTCTTCTCGGGCTTGTCTGCCAGCAGTATTAAGTAGGTACAAACAAGGAAAATAAATAAAAATATGATACTTATCATAGTTGGTTACAAACCTAGTTATAAACATTATTTATTGTTACACAATTTTGAGCTAAATTTCATCTTTCCATGATACATAAATAATTTATAGAAAATGAATATTTATAGATATAATTTTAATACTTAACATAAAATTCAATTAAGTAGTAAGTTAATTTCAGTTATTAAACAAGTATTATTATATGTCTTTTTATATAAATAATATTATAAGCTAGATGAATATGATATTGATAACATACAAATTTAATATAAATTATGAAACATTTGAACGTATAAATAACGCCAAATTGCCATTTAAATTGCTTGATTATGTTTTTATTATTTAATTTAAAGCCATTTAATTTAGTATATGAAAATAACATAGCATCCGTGCTATTTTTACTAGATTTCACTACTTTCACAAGTTTGGATATGATTCCGAAAAAATCATTAAATGAAATTATAACATGTGAGATTATAACTAGAAATAAATATAATATAAATGTACCGTTTATTAATTGTGAAAAAATCAATAATTATTTAATTGTTATAAAAAGCAAAACTCTTAAAAAAGTATTCGTGCCGTCTTTTACTTTGACCAAAGTTTTTATTTTATGGATATCTATACATCTTCGACGTTTTGAGATGAATGAAATGCTACAGATTTTATTCGTATTTTTTTGCTTTAAACTATATCGTAGTGTATTCGTAGTGATGGTAGTTTTTACTGTACTGCTGACAATAAACGACTGCAAAAAATAACGAAAAAAAAGAAGCTAAGATGTCTTTTTCGGAAGAAAATAAGTGCATCTTCATAAAAGTCTTCACAGCAAGCTTTCATTAAACTCCTATTAGATGTAAATATAAAAACTTATCGCGGAACGCGCATTACTATGCAAATTTCACTCTTTTACAATAGAAAGTGTAATGATGATAAATTGACAACGTCATCCGGTTGCAACGTTCAATAAAAAAATATTCGCAGCGGCTTGTATGAGTGGTT